TTCCAGTAAGAGCCACAGCTCTACATCTTGGTTTACTCTGAGCTAGATTCAGGTAGTTCCTACTTATCCTGCCATGGGGCCAGCTTAGACTTTGCTACCCTTTCCCCTTGGTCTTAGCCTTCTCCAACAAGGAATCTATCAGTGACCTGGCCTAATTCCCAAGTGACCACATATACTTTGGCATCTGACAGACCTCTCAGACTGAGTTTCACTATTCAAGGATATCAGGGCCTTCCAGACATCCACGCTGGCAAGTGCCTACACTCCCTCCAGATTATTGACTTCTGCATCTGCAACCTGTCCAGCACTGGATCTGCCGCTCATATTCTGTGTCACTAGAGCTAAGTCATCTTCCCAGAAAGGCCACCAGTCCCCCAGTATCTAATATGAGGGGAATTTCTGTAGTTAGATCAAAGGCCATATTGAGAACACATTTAGGCCACATACAGTCTTTGCATTTCACATTGCTCTTCACTGGTTTAGTTAAAAGAGCTAAGGGTCGGGAGTGGAAGGTGTGAGTTCAAGTTGTGCTGCAAAATAGCCATGTGAACATTCAAGTAATTCTGTTTCCTCACCTATTAAACAGATAGTTTATATTTATCTAAAATAAAAACATGTTTAAAAAAGTAACATTGCTCTCTGTATGGGGCATGGTTGGATTTTATAGTCTACCATTCAGATGTGCAAAGAGTTTTATCTTTATTTTCTGCAACTTATTTTGTCCTTGAATCCCTACTCCTGCTGAAGGCAAAAGAAAGCCTGCTAATAAAGACTATTCAGATCTTTCTGGGTTACAACATTCTCCAAGTTTGACACAGGATGTAATATTAACTGACTGTTTAGCTAAAATGTAACTTTCAGTGCCAATTTTCTATCTTCAGATGGCATCTTTTCTCCCCATTTTTTCCCAGCTGATTCCTAGTACAAGGGGTTCCTACCTATCCACATGTCCCAAAGCCTACATGCTGTCCTCTTGGCCTTCACTTTCTTTCGAGTGAGATGTCACTGGTTTGGCCATATTCCTGGTATTCAGGTACATGGTTCTGGGTGATTCTCTTGACTCTGACACTAACTTACCTTCCTAAATGCAAAGCCTCCCTGCCACAGCATCTGTGAGACCCCTAACATCTGAGGCCTCATTGTCCCGATTCTCATTCTTTCTCTGGTTCAGCGCTTCAAATGTTAACATTTTTATGTATGATTTTGAGACTTGTTGAGACTTCTGATTTCCCTATACTGCAAATACAAGCCATGGGCAGTTTAGAAACTGCTTAACATCTACCTACATAGACACACCTCCTGTAGTCAATTTTCAAATACCACATGGCGGGTAGTATGATTTTCCAGCACAGTGCAAAATATGAAGGTCTCTTTAAGGGGATATCAATTTTCCTAGACGATTCCATGAAAAGCTAGGAGAAAGTGTAATCTATACTTGGAGTATCCCTGAACTCTCTGGATTTATGTGCCCTTTGCTTCCAACTTGCCCCATTTAGATTTTTAGCTTGACAGGTGAATCAGGTCACTCATATCTGACCTCATGCTTTTTTTCTTTCTCAGGCACAGAACCCTTCATACTTCTTTGTTCCCTTGGATTGGATATCTTCCTGTCCTCTCGCATGTCATCAGTCACTCTACATCCCCACTTTTCCCAGTTAGTTTTAATTTACACCAGTTATCACAGGGTAATTATAAATATCTTTTACTTTTATCTTAAAAATCTAATTTGGAAAATACAAGAAAATTTTTAAAGAGTTTATTTTTTTGTTATCTAAAAAGGGGCAGTTAGGATTTAGAAATAGCTTTCCTCTGTCAATTCTGTTCAAGATGGTAGAGTCACTATGATTTGAGAAAGCCAGATTTGAGTAGGAGATGCCATTTCTGCCACCATAGTTTACACTATGGACATTACTAATTAAAACTAGGCACTTGGGTGCTCTCCTAAATCTGTTTTGTGTCTCTCAATGAAAACTGGACAGAGCAGCTGCCATTCTCAGGATGAATTCCGTATTGTGAATAGTTCCTCACAGCATCAGATTTTGTTCAGTATCCAAATGGGTATACATGCTTGATGGAGCCTATGAAACATTGCTAGAATCCTAGTTATGAGAAAGGATGGTAACATCTGATACATATACATACACGTATTATATATATATATATAGTGAAAGATGAGAGACTCACAGTTCACTGCATCTAGGGTTCTGAGTGGCCAGAATGACTGTTAGATATTCCTTACACCAGTCTAACCCTAGGATCAATTAGCATATTCTCCAAATTAGGACAGAGAATGTAGTCTCAGACCTATCAGGTCTTCTGTGGAGAACAAGCCGAGGTTACCATTTAATGAGCTGAACCTTTTTGGGGACCCTTCATACAAAGGATGATTTGCTACCAATCTGGTCCTTTTGTTTTCTTTTTCTTTCTTTCTGCTGGGGCATTCTTATCAGGTACACCCTGGACATGCAGCCATGGACTAGCCTTTTAACTTGAATCTGTCAGTATGTCATGGAGCTGTGGAATGATTTTATTGTGAAAATATATTGAAATATAAGTGCAAATATATTAAAATATTTGAAAAGTTCATCCATGATCCAACCTGGAAGATACCCATTTTTATGCTTATTTCTTTATTATGTCTCAGTGTTTTGATGTAGTTATGCTCTGAGAATTCACTTCTAACCAAACTTTTATGATGTGAACTTAGAACAGTATGAAGTATATTGTGTCTTCTATCTGGCTTCCTAATCATTCCTTCCTTAAAAACCTTATTTTAATGAACATGGACCTCATTATTTTTCTCTTTAAACATACAGAACTCTCAAGTACCATGCATAAAGAAGAATTAGAATTTAAACTTTTTAAATGTGATTTAGTTTGTATATAAAAGGGTGAAAGTATACTGTGAGGTGACAAAGGAAAGGAAAGGGGAAAGGAAGGGAAGGGCGGGGAAGGGAGGGGAAAGGAAGGAAAGAAAGGAAATACCCAACAGAAAATGGGGTTTGTCAGGGGATTTGTTGTGGGCAACTACAGAGGTAGATGGACCACTTACCATATTTGTTTGGGATGTTGAGCCTAATGATGCCATACACATACCAAGAGGGCATGAATACATTTATTACTTACATATTTGGATTTTTGGGTGAAAACAGCATATGTCTGCCATGCAGGTTGGCAATAGCTAAGAGGGCAAGGAAAGGAGACTGACTTGGGTTTTTTACTGTGGCTAGGATTTTGGGCCAGGTGAGAGTTCTCATGTGCAATGAGGGCTTGTATGGTTTGAGTCTTCCACCAGCACTGAAGGAGGGGGCACCCAGGCTTTCTTATCAGCTTCCCCAGATGTGGGCACAAAGGGAAGTGGGTGGCGTAAGCTTTAAAAGCTCTTCGCCATCAAACATCCAAGAATGGAATCAGATTTATTATAGAAATCAGCCTGAAAGCTCGCAATGTTCAAATTTGGAACACTTTGAGCAAGAAAATAAATAACATAGTTTTGGATTATAACTCAAAATATAAAACAAATGTTCATAATGCTTAAATAAATGGGAGATGAAAGAATAGAAGAGAGAAGAAAAAATCTCCTCAAAGAAGAATTCCAGATAACATATGCAGATAATTTTTCTCTCAAGGAGGTGGGGCTTAACCCCTAAGCTGTTAAGTGTTTGCTACACTTACCGACTTGCTTCCAAAAGTACAGTGAAAACGGGAAAAAAACTATCTCTGCAACGGAGAAACTTGGCAAATACTACTTCAGAAAGGTGATCAGAGTTAGTGTCATCAGTGTTTAATCATGATAGCATGTGCCCTTGATGTGATGTGCTGATAATGGCACTTCTCCTCAGTGGCCTTCCTCCCCAAACTCATCACTGCAGTCTAACCTGGGAAAACATCAGACAAGTCCAAATTTATGGACATTCTCCAAAATAGTAGCTGGCCAGTCCTCCTCAAAACATGCTGACTGAATGCAAGGTAGCATTGTGGATGGGGTCCTGGAAAGGAAAAAGGATGTTAGGGGAACATTAATGAAATTAGAATAAAATATGGACTCTTGTTAATAATAATGTACCAGTATTAGTTTATTGCTTGTGACAAATGTACCACAGTAATGATGATATAAACGAGGGAAACGGTGCAGGTATACAGGAACTCTCTGTACTGTACTTGCAACTTTTATGTAAATTTTACACTGTTTTAATTAAAAGGTGCATTTAAAATTTTTATAATGCATTTGGTATCCAAAAATAGATGTAAATGTTCACTCCTTTTCCCCCAAGCATTTCATGAGCACTAATCTAACATTACAATTTATTATCTGCTATTTACTGTTAATAAATGTTGCTACTCAGTGGAAGTAGAAAAATGTGTATGTCTGTATATAATTCAACAGATAGTATTTTGTGTTGGCATAATCATAGACAATGAGGAATGAGATACCCTTTTAAGGTTGGTTTTTTAATTTAAGCCTATTGTTCAGGAAATACAGGGAAATGGAATGCCACCGAACTAACCAATGTTCTTAATTACAATATATGTTTAATAAAACAAGGAGTCTCTGTGGGTGTAAAATTCGCTAAGAGTTTTAGGAATAACAATAGTATCTTCATATTTTACTTCCCATCTAATACCTACCTCATCTTTTATTGACATAAAGATAAATTAAGTTCTTGTGAAGCAATTTCAACAGGGGAGAAACCTCTCTCAAAGTAGAGATCTGAATGATTATTATTCAAAGTGTGCAATGAGTATTCTCGATTAAGGAGACTATGCTGTAAAAGAAACGTTTCAGCCCTGACTGGGTGGCTCAGTTGGTTGGAACGTTGTCCCGTACGCCAAAAGGTTGCGGGTTGATTCCAGGTCAGGACACATATCTAGGCTGTGGTTCAGTCCCTGGTGGGGACACGTACAGGAGGCAGCTGATCAATGTTTCTCTCTTGCATTGATGTTTCTCTCTTAAAAAATCAATGAAAACATATCCTTGGGGGATGATTAAATAAATAAGTAAATAAATACATAAATAAATAACTAGTAAATAAATAAATAAATGTTTCAAATGCTTACCCATAATAGGTACTTAGTAATTGCCTGTGGAATTAATTTAAACTTAATATTACATGTTTCTTTTGTTGTTGTCATTTATGTTTAAAAATTTTAAATTCATAGGACTTAATTCAAGAGAGATTAATATTTTTTATATTTTGCCATCAGTACTTAAACGTTGCATTTTTAAACTGTTTTTGAGTACTTAATTTATAACCCCATATCTTTGGATTTTATTTTTTAGATTTCTGGACTTCGAGCAACATTAAAGAATGTGGAGCCACGGCATAGTAACCAAGGACCTAAAATTAAAGGTGAAAGTAAAATGTGATAAAACTATAATTTAATATTGGGTGGTGATTCACAACCTTATCAGAGCTCAAAATTCTAGAGATACTTGAAAGTGAATAAATGGTGTGGTAACTACAAATTAAAATGTTAAGGAAAAATTGAGAAGAACTGTAGATGTGATACTATATAGATTAATTTTAGAGAAAAATATGAGTAAATCATAATGGGAGGATTTTTGGGCGTGATGGAGTGTTTGCTACCAGACTTGTCTTCTCCCCAAAAATGACTCTAAAAATAGACTGTATATGTGTGGCAACGACTTTTAGATATTGGAAAACAGCACAAGTCACAGAAGGCAAGTGACAGAAGGAAAATTTATAAGTTGAGCTCCATCATCACCATGATTTTGTGCCTAGGGAATTTTCCAAATAAGCTTCATGGAGATGGAAGTCAAGAAGAGCATGGCAGTCCTGCATGAACTGAAAAGGCAAGCTGTGGAAGCAACTAGAATATGTAAGAAACAGCACCAGGTAAAAGGGAGCTGCAATGCGCAGTGGCCCAGTTTGTGAAGGAGTTTACTACAAATCCTTAATTGATGGCAGGACTACTCATGCAAGACTACCTCAGACTTCTTCAGAGAGAAGATTCTATAGGAGGAGTAAGAGGAGACCAGAGATTCTAGAGGTCAAGCATTGATGGGAGACTTTGAATTCTGATCACGCCTGGATGGAGAGACCTGTTTAACACCCTGGTTAACATCAAATTAACATTCAGCATCCTGTATCCATCCTATAAAACCGAAAACAAAGCTTATACCAAATTCCTAGAAGAAATAGAGTTTAGAGTTTGAATCTTGCCGAGTTAGAGAACCTTGGGAGATATTTAATGCTTTCCATGGATCTACCTACCATACAAAGCATAAAATTAAGCCTCAAAATTCAAGGTGATCAAAATCATCTGTGTGCTAGAACAAAAATCAGTACCCTTCAGAGGAAGACAGTTGTCCAGATTCTTTATGATCTCTCATCTATCTTTCTCAGCATATAATTAAATTTTCTAGATATGTTAAAGAAACATGAAAATATGAGCAACGATAAAGACAAAAAGCAACTGATACAGCATAGGTGTTAGATTTAGTAAATAAAAATGTTAGAGAGGCTATTTTGAATATGATCAAGGATTTATAGGAAAATATGACATCAGTAGTGGAGAGATAGGGAATCTTGGCAAATAAATGGAAACAGAAAAGGAAATAGAAATTCTAGTACTGAAAAATACAATAACTACAATGAAAAATTTACACTTTTCAACAAATTGTGGATTACAGGAATGTCAGTGAATTTTAAGAGATCAAAAAAAAATCTGTTTTAAAGAAGAAATTTAAAAAAATGGAAGGAATGTGTCTACTTAACATATATGTAATTAGATCCCCAAAGGAGAAAAGAATGAGAGTGGGGCATAAAAATATTTAAATAAAAGATGACCTAAAATTTTCTAAGCTTGATGTAAAACATCAACTTACATATAAAAAAAAAATCTATAAACACAACGAAAATCATGCCTGGATGCATCATATTCAAACTTTTAAATTAAATTTAAGTGAGAGAATCTTGGAAGCAGCTAGAGAGAAAAGACATTACATCAAGGAGAACAATAGTACAAATAAAGGCCGATTGCACAGGAGAAACAGTGGCAGCTAGGAACAGTGAAATGGCATCTTTAAAATGGGGCAAAACTTCAATGCAGAATTTTATGTACAATAAAACTTCTTCAAATATTAGAGCTAAAGCAGACATTTTAATATAAATGAAAGCTGAGAGATTTTGTTGCAAGCCATTTTGAAGTACAGCAAATCCTAAAGGATGTTCTTTGGGCTGAAAGACAAGACTGCCAGTAGGAAACTCAGACCCAGAGAACTGAATACAGAGATTTAGAAATGCTAAATTCTGGTTAATATAAAGATTGAGTTTTTCCTCTTCTTAATTTTCATAAAAGAAAATGCCTGATAAAAAATAAGTAATGTTTATTAGGCATGTTAAAGATAAAATAATTTTAGGGTGGAGCAAATGTTCTATATCTTAAGTTTGGTGGTGGTTGTATGCCTACTTATCTCTGATAAAACTTTTCCAACTCTGCACTTTAAAAGTATGTATTTTGTTGTATGTAAATTATACCTCAATGAAGTTGATTTAAAAAAGAATGATAGGAAACTCTAAATATTAGAAGGACTTTGAAATGGTGAATTTTCTTAATAAACATAACATCCTGTTATTTCCAGATGACTATTCCTTGTGTTCTCTAATTAAGGCTTAAAAGAAATATGTAGCATTGTTATATTTGAAACGTTTTTCTTAGACTTGGTTCAGTAGTTCCTTTCCTAACCTTTTATGTTATGTTCAGTGATGCCTAAAGAGACTGCTATGCAAAGGGATGTTTATTGCAGTAATATCTATAGTAATAAAATAATACACGCAAACTTAGCCTTTAATCACAAGTGAATGTCTAAATATAGTTCATCATACAATACTAGAAAGTCTTTAAAAATTATGCATAAGAAAATGCTCATGTTATTATGTTAATATAATGTTAAGAAATAAAAATACTTATATAGTATGAGGACATGTCTGTTAAATAATGTATAGAAAAATGATTGGAGGGTGCACAAAAATTGTTTACATAATTTTCTTTGTGGGTGTGATTACTTTCCACATTTTTGTGCTTCCTGCATTTGAATATGTATGTGTTTAAATAAAGAAATTGTTTTATATGTAGATAGTTTTAAATTATATAATCAGATATAAATGTGAAAGGATAATATGAAACTATTATAATCTTAGAAACTTTAGCTCCCTAAATGACTAAAGATTGTGAAAAACAATATAAAAAAGGCATAAAGGTTGAGGACCTTGGGGTACTTGGTTGAGGCTGCATCAGTTAATCTCTAATGCCTCCTTCTACTCAAATAGTTTATGATTTTATGTTTACCCTTGACATTTCTAGTAAAATAAACTAATGGTTTACAGATAACTTCTTTATGAAGTTATCTCCTGGTATTCCATATAATTAAAAAATAAACACATTACATGTTTTTCTAAGCTGATAAGTTTCTAATTATATTTTGATCTGTGATGTTTTAAAGTGGCTTTTGATAAAAGGGAATACATTCCTATCCAGCATGAAGAAATCAGTTCTTTTAGTTGAATAATTCTGATTACCTGAATAAAATTAATTTCTTAAATCCTATACTGAGTAATTTTTGTGCTCCTTATAAACATGCACTCTGGTTTTAGATATGGGACTTGCAGTACCTTTTCCTAAGCTTCTGGTGTCAGCATTTTACTGTGTGATCTCTGTATCTGTCATCACTTTGATGGCCTGATCAACTTGGGGCCTTACCTAGCCAGGGACTGTTATTTGAAAAGATGTTGGATTTATTGGTTAAGTGGTTGTTCCTCATAAAGCCTGCTGTCCTCACAATAATTTTCTTATATTTAACACCCTCTTCTTCCTTTGCTCATTTTAGTTTAATTATTTTTAACCCTCACCTGAGGATATGTTTTTATTGATTTTAGTCAGAGAGGAAGGGGGAGGTAGAGAGAGAGAGAAAAACATCAGTATGAGAAGCACTGATTGGTTGCCTCCCATAAGCATCCGACCAGAGGTCAAACCCAAGACCTGGGTATGCGCCCTGACTCCCGGGAATGGAATCCATGACCTTTTGGTGTACAGGATGACGCTCCAACCAGCTGAGTGTGCCACACCTGCCAGGGATTACTTTAATTTTTAAAATACTTTACCAGTCTGTTTTCTCTCTGTCATCTGGCTCTTCATTTATTTTGGGTGGTGGGAATTCTTCAGATTAAAATTGTATCCACTCTGTAGCTGGGGGACAGTGAACTCATTGTCATTTAAGGTGAACTTGGGGAAAAGACTAATTAATTAAATAGTTTAATTACTTAATTCAGATTTAGGAATTAAGACAGATATTAGACTACACTGGAGGAGAGTTATCAGAGTTTTAAATAGGCCATGGTTTTGAACTAATCCAAGTGGGATGCTAATTTTAAAATGATAAAATATTTTTAAAAAGTTATCCATTTAATTGCTACCACCAGAGAAAATATTATTAATACTTTAGCACCCAACTTTCTTACCTGAAAAAGTTTTTAATTCTATACTTATCCTTATATGACATGTAGAATAATAGGAAGATTCCTAGGAGACATAGTGAATTAGTATCGACTAGATATTTGAAGTGATAGTTTTGTATTATGTTTTTCTTTGTTATAAAAAGTAATATTTTTCAAATATTTGAAAGAAACTACACAGAAAGCACCTAAGTATTACATATTATACGATCAAACATTTTTGTGCAGATTACTTAATTTCAAAAAGTTTATGAATATGCTGGGTTTGATTGCTATGTATGTGTTGACTTACATGTCTGAAGTGTTTCAAACACCTTACTATAAAACTAAATTATGCAACATACTGTTTTTATATTATTGTGGGCATTATTTTGAGAATTTTCTCTTTTGTCTGGAATAGGTAGTGAATAGGAAAAATTAATTAGGTCAGGGAAGAAACTAAATGCCAGCCATGTGTCCCGTTGCCTAGATTCTTTGAGAGCCTTCACATTGAAACCATCCCGATATTTTTCTGTTCATTATCTTTTCTCTATTATAAATCTAGAGTTATAGTTTAGAACATTGAGTTCTTTATTTATGAGTATTTGACATCAACTTGCTGTTTAGCAATATAGGGCAAAATTACATATATTTAAATATGTATATGTATATGGAAATATATGAAAAGGAAAGAGATATTTCCCATCACTTTTATTTTTCCCTCAGGTGACTCCATTAGGACTGTTCTTTATGTCCAAGAGTTTGGAGACTAATTTTACAGCTATATTGGAATATTACCCTATGTTTTTCTTTTGGTTTTTCTCAACATCTAGAAGCATAGAGAATAATAATTAATACAATATTCTTTTAAAAATCTCTTATTTATTATTTAGTTCCATTTGTGAAATTTTGTTATTGCTTACCATTCTCTCCTTTGACCCTCTTCGACTTGGTTTATAAGGATATGAAACCTCACGATAACAGGAATTTGGATATAATGTAATTGGAGAACAGCTCTTAAGTGCTGCCATTTCTTTAGCTTTGCAGCAATGCCACCCTGCATTTTTGGGAAATGAATTTGAGACTTTACTTATGACGTTTTGGCATGGCTTTAATATTTCTAGTTTAAAAAGAAATGTGTCAGGGCTTTGGCTTTCATATTTTTGGTTGTATTTCTTACAGACAAACTGTATAAATATTAAGAATGAATGTGTTATCTTGTAGTTGTTTCTGGCTGTGAAAAGGAAGAGGCACCAGAAGGTCCTACTCAGAGACGTCTTCGTGAAGCCAGGGAAAAAAACAAATGTAAAACAGGGATGAAAGATAATACAAAGGTATGCTGTTTATTTTTGATTCCATTAATTTATACTTCACTCTCAGATCTTCAGATCCACAGACTCATAGGCTATCATTATTTTACTGGAAAAGGAGTGTACAGCTTATGCACTTAGAGCCCCTTGGTGTAGAGGTAGAAAATTGATGTCCTCAAATGGTAGGTAACTAGTTAATTGAGGGACACACACTGCTTAGTGGCAGAGACAGCTCTGTGAATCACTCTGCCATGTATCCCAACTTAAGTAGGGCCATGTCTGCTCACCTGCTCACTCTTCTGCTTAAAATTACCTCTGTCCAAAAGAAATAACTCCCAGATCATTCCTTATTTTAGTTTTTTATAGTATAACTTCAAACTTTTCTTTACGAGTAGGATGGAAAGAATTATGTCCCATTTAAGAATCCCCTTATATATGAGTGCCTTCACTTTGCAATAAGGTTGATAGTTAAAATCTTCTATAATGATTACAGAAAAATTGGTATTAAAAATGTCTGGTCAGACAAAGAAGTAAAAAATTAGGAAGAAAGAAAGTTAGGTAAAACCCCTGAGGGGTTTTAGTTTCTTGTTATGAAAATTGCATGAAAGTCTAGCTGAGGTAATGAATGTTTTCCCTAAAGTAGTTGTTTTCTTTGAGTTCTAAAATATCTGGCATTCATTTAAAAATGAATGCATTTACAAGTGTAACATCTTTTAGCAGTAATTCTGTAAGAACAACAAATTTTTATGAATTCAAATAATATATCATTTATTTAGCTAACATCAGTAACATTTTCCCCTCAATGGCATGCATTAGAACATAGTATTGTATATAATATCTGAATAAAATACAGACTAAATGCTTTGGGGTTAGACTAAGGCAAAAAGATAAGTTTACAAAAAGGTAAACTCTTTTTGTGTGATATTCAGATTAGTATTTTACTGTTCCTTTATTATCACTATTACTTTATGGACTTACGGTATTTTTGGTAGATCCACTCCTGTAGTCAGCCTGCTTTCAGCTTCCGCCCATGCCAACAACCTCCCATCAAGGTGGACCTTCCCTTTTTGCCACCATAACCCTTTCCCACTCCTCCACCTGCCTTCCTCTAAGTCTCAGCCAAATGCAAGCAGTGGTGGCGGATGACTGTTGCTGTCAGTAAGTAGTGCTTGCTCTTATTTGGGTAATTTTTATTTATTTCCATAGAGGTTAGTAGTTTGGGGAGCAAATAAAGCACTCAGAACAATAAAAAATAATAGCATTTAAGGATTTTAGGTGTGATGAGGTGATTTTCATCAGGAGCATTTTCACCTAATGGCATCAACATTCACTTTCAGGTGCTAAATCAAATGATTTCTTGATTCACTCCCTAAGTGCTATGGCTTATAAGACTGTACATTAGTAATACAATGTTGGCCTTTTATGTGACAAAAAGCTGCTGAAATATAGAACAAGTACCTTACCTATTCCTGCATAGTATATTCTTTTTGGTGTTGCATTAAAATATTATATTGCATTAAAATATTTCTTCAACATGATAGGAAAATTCAGGCCTTACAAAAGAACTAACGTGAAGGATATGGTGAATTCTTCCTCCCTTTGCTAAGTTACCATTTTTACTAATAATTTTTTTTCTTTTTCTGCAAATTTATACACTTTGACCAACATCTCTCCAATTCCCCCACACCTCTGCCCTTGATAACCACCACTCTCCTCTCCATTTCTATAAATTTGGCTTTTTTTTTTTTTTTTAGATTCCACATATAAGTGATATCACAGTATTCTTCTTTCTCTCACTTGACTTAGCATAATGCCCTAAAGGCCCATCTGTGCTGTCTTAAACAGCAGTCTGTCCTTTCTCATGGCTGAATAATATTCCATTCCTGTGTGTGTGTGTGTGTGTGTACCACATCTTGTTTATGTGTTCATCCATTGGAAGAAACTTTACATATCTTGGATATTGTGAATAATCCTCCAGTGAACTTAAGAGTGCAGATATCTCTTCAAGATTTTCATTTCCTTTCGAAATATATCTGGAAGTGGGATTACTGGATCACATAGTAGCCCTATTTTTAATTTTTTGAGAGACCTCCATACTGTTTCCATAGCGGCTTCACAAATTTACATTTCCACTAACAGTGCACAAGGGTTCCTTTTTCTCTACATCCTCACAAATACTTATCTCTTGTTTTCTTGATGATAGCCATTCTAACAGGTGTGAATATCTCATCGTAGTTGTGATCTGCATATTCATGCAGAGCATTTTTTCAATGTATCTGTTGGCCATTTGTATGTCTTCATTTTTTTTTTTTGAAAAATGTCTATTCATTTTTTCTGCCAGTATTTTACTTAGATTGGTTCTTTTTTTGTTGTTGTTATTGAGCTGTATGAGTTTTTTTTTTTTTATGTATTCACATATTTACCTCTTATCAGATACATGGTTTGCAAATATTTTCTCCCATTTCATAGTTCACCTTTCATTTTGTTGATTCTTTTGCTGTGCAGAAGGTTTTGTTTAATGTGTCCCACTTGTTGATTTTTTCCTTTTGTTGTTTGTGCTTTTGGTATCATATCCAAAAATATCATTGATAAGACCAATGTCATGGAGCTTTTTTCCTGTTTTCTCCAGGGGTTTTATAGTTTCAGGTCTTTGTTTAAGGCTTTAATCCATTTGTAGTTTATTTTTTATAGATGGCATGAGATAGGGATGCAATTTCATTTTCCTGCATGTGGCTATCCAGTTTTCCCAAAACTATTTATTGAATCATAGAGTATTCTTGGCTCTCTTGTAAAATACCTGTTGACTGCATATTTGGGAGTTTATTTCTGGGCTCTCTATTTTGATCCATTTGTCTTTGTTTCTATTTTTATGTCATTACTATACTCTTTTGATTACTATAGGTTTATAGTACAGTTTGAAACCAAGGTTGTGATGCCTCCAACTTTGTTCTTTTTTCTTGGGATTACTTAGGCTATTTAGGATCTTTTGTGATTCTATACAGATTTTAGGATTTTTTTCAGGTGAAAATGTCATTGGAATTTGTTAGGGATTGCATTGAATCTATATATGGTGTTATATAAAGTATTACCGGGCCCAGAGACAGTAAGAAGGGTTGACAACTCCATCATTACATTTAGTGTGAATTAAGGGAACTTGCTTCTCAGGTGATAGCCAGATGACATAGGTATATTCCTCCATGCTTTATGGTAGGCATTAAGGGTTTATATAGGAGAGGGTGGGATAGATAAGGGTACTAGGGTATGTCCTAACTCAGGAAAGGGGAAGATGCCTTACATGCTTTACAGGGCAGGGCTACAGCCTGTTCCAGGAACCAGCACAAACCTTGCTGAGGGGCACAAGCGAGGGGTGGATTAGAGTCTCTAAGGGGATTTTAGGGAAGCAATCTCTGTTCTGGCCATGATACAGCTGGCAGGTCCTGCAGAGATCAGGCAGTAGTCAGCATGAAACAGTCTCCACAGGTAGCTTTTGGCAGTTTGGACATTTTAACAATATTAATTCTTCTGATCCATGAACATGGGATATCTTTTATTTGTGTCTTCACTTTCTTTCATCGTCTTTTCGTTTTCATTGTGCAGGTTTTTCACTTCTTAGTTAAATTTAATTTTAAGTAGTTTGTTGTTTTTGAGGCAACTGTGAATGGAATTGCCTTCTTTATTTCTTTTTCAGATATTTTATTGTTAGTACATAGAAACACCTGATTTTTGTATGTTGATTTTATATCCTGCAACTTTACTGAATTAGTTGAAAGTTGCAACAGGTTTTTGGTTGAATCTTTAGGATTTTCTATATATAAGATCATAACATTGGAAAATAAGGACAATTTTACTTTTTCCTTTCTGATTTAGATGCATTTTATTTCTTTATCTTGCCTAATCACTCTAGCTAGGACTTCCAGTACCATGTTGCATAAGAGTGGAATGAATGGGCACCCTTGTCTTGTTCCTGATCTTAGAGGACAAGCTATCAGCATTTCACTGTTTATTATGTTGTTATCTGTGGGTTTCTTGAATATGGCCTTTATTATATTGAGGTATGTTTCTTAAATATCCAGTTTGTTGAGGGTTTTTATCAGGAAAGAATGTCAAACTGTCAAATCCTTTTCTTGCATCTATTGAGATGATTACATGACTTTTATTACTGTGATATCACATTTACTGATTTGCTTATGTTGAACCATCCTTACATCCCAGGGATAAATTCCACTTGATCATGGTGTATGATCGTTTTAGTATATTGCTGACTTTAGTTTGCTAATATTTTGTTGAGAATTTTTGAATTTATATTTATCAGAGGTATTGGTACATAGTTTTCTTGTAGTGCTTTATTTTGATTGTTGTGTTAGGGTAATACTGGGCTTGTAAAATGAGTTTGGGGGTGTTCCATCCTCTTCAGTTTTTTAGAAAGATGGGTGTTAATCTTCTATAAATGTATGGTAGAATTCACTAGTGAAACCTTCTGGTCTTGGCCTTTTTGTGTTGGGAAGTTTTTGAGTACTGATTTATTCTCCTTATATAGCCTGTTCAGATTTTCTGTTTCTTCTTGATTCAGTCTTGGGAGGTTATATGTTTCTTGGAATTTATCCATTTCTTCTAAATTACTAATTTGTTGGCATATAATTGTTCATAGTAGACTCTTATGATCTTGTGTATTTCTGTGCTATAAATTGTAGTATCTTCTCATTCATTTCTGATTAAATTTGAGTCTTTTTTTCTTAGTGTCATTAAAGGTTTGTTGATTTTTATTTATCTTTAAAAAGACAATGCTTAGTTTTGTTCTTTTCTATTGCTTTCCTGTGTTTCTAAGGCTATAAATAACTCATCTTGAAGTTTCATTTGCAGAACAAATTTGCTTAAGTTAAATGTTTATTTTGGTTGTGTTTAGGGAATCTGGTGGAGATTATGGGGGCTTTCTAAAACTAGTCTCCATGGACTACTTTAGCAGCCCTCTAGACTGTCTTTAATAGCCCACTCTGTGTGGCATTGAACATTTCTTCCTGAAATAT